GAGGTAGACCCTTACCGCACACCATGAACAAAAGTTAACTTGAAATGCATCAAAACCCTACATAGAAAAGCCAAAAGTGTAAAACTCTTAGAAGAAAATACTGGGGCAGATCTTCATGACCTCTGATGTGGCAATGGTTTCTTGGACATGACAGCAAGCAGTATAAGAAATAAAAGCAAAAAATATGTAAATTTGACTTCTTCAAAGTCAAAAATGTTTGTACATCAAAGGAAACTCAGAAGAGAATGAAAAGAGAACCCACGCGGGCTCACAAAGATGTACAAATGCACACACCTGCTTGCTGTAGAGGCTCCTTCCCTGAACCATCCTAGTTTCCAGTTTGCTATGGAACTTCCTGAGAGGTGAGCTCAGCCTGAGGCGCCATGTGCCTTAGCCCTTAATCCTCTATAGCGCTCTGAGCTCCTTGGTGTCACAGGTCACCAGTGGATCACTGCTGCTTCCCTTTGCCACTTCTCCCTCCTCACCCTACCCTGAGACCACGATGGCAAACAGCACACATCACCTCTTTGGCCCACCCCAGACATTTGGGTGGTCCTCTGTGGCCTGCCACCGGCCAACCAGCCATCACGGTCTCCCATGATCCTGTCTGGCCTGGGGTCACTGGCCTTATTTTATGCATCTCTCTAGCTCTCCTCTCTCTAGCTCCCATGCTATTTTTCCTGCCTACTACATTCCTTTGTTCTAACGCGTTCCCCACGCTTGTCTTTTCCTTTGTGTCACTTTCTCAGCACGAACCCTGCCCCAGAGAGGTGAAAGGGGAAAGGGTATCTCACTGCCTGACTGATACTGGGAGGTTTGGTTAATTATTTAACAAAGTAGGAGCTTGTACCCGGAGTTGTGGTTTTAACACTAGAGTACTTTAGGAGGTGGTTCACCACACTTACACAGCTTTGCGTAAGAGCCTGAGTTTCTAAATAGGTGTCGTGGGGAGAAAATACCCCAGCACACAGAGCAGTTCAAATACAGCACTGCACGGTGAAGTATGAGAAGGCGTGCAGATGCCTGCGTGTGGCCCTGAGTCAGCAGTAGCTGTGATTCGGTGGGTGATACGCATTTTCTAGCACAATCATTTTCAATTTGCACAATATTAGTAATATTCCCATACATTCAGGCTCTCTTCCAAACGACATGACCAGATGTCAACATTTTCTTCTTGATGCAAGCCTGTCACGAATTATTTCATCTTCGGATGGTTGGACTGTCCCCTTACAGAGAGTTTCCACACTGAATTGAATGGAAGCTAAAGACTGGATGCTTACCACTGTGACAGGTGCTACCCTTACACAGATGCCAGCATTACCTGTGGGCCTACTTTGCAGATGATGAAACTAGGCACAGAGAGTTTGAATGTCTCACCCAAGTTCCTGGCTCTAGGAAGGAGGAAGCCAGGATGAAAACCCAGACATTCTCTTTTAAAAATTGAGACATAATTCACATGCTATAAAATGTACATTTTAAAATGTCCAGTTCAGTGTTTTTTAGTATATTCACAGAAATGAGCAACCATCACCACTCTCTAATTCCAGATCTTTCTCCTCACCCCAGACACAAACTCCATGCCCACTGGCAGCCACTCCCCATTTCTCCCCATTCTCCTAGCCTTCGGCACAAATTTACTTTCCGTCTCTATGGATTTGCTTATTTTGGGTATTCTGTACAAACAGAATCACACAATGTGGTCCTTTATGACTGGATTCTTTCACTTAGTGTCATGCATCGTTTGTAGCATGAATTGGTGTCTCATTCCTTTTCATGCCTGACTTGTATTCCAGTGTACGGATCCAACACACTGATTTGTCCATTCCTTAGTCGATGGACATCTGGGTTGTTTCCATGTTTCAGCCATAAGAAAATCATGCTGCTGTGAACCTTTGTGCACAATGAACCCCGACATTTTGATTTTAGAGCCCGTGTGCCTAACGACCTCCACACTTGACTGTCTCCCTGTTGCAGACAGGAAACTTCTTGGGAAATGTGCCACCCATGGCCTTTTGGTAATGTCACACTCAGTGAAATGTGCCCAGTGCGGGTTCGACTTACATAACATGGTGTCTCCCCCTGTATGTAGCAGACACGAGTTGGTTTTGGTGGTTTTGGCTACAGAGGAGCATGCAGTGGGGTGTTTCGTATTATTTG